TTGAGATGCATATAAGTATCGAGATATCCATACCGACCTGTCTATAGTCATTCTTACCACCAATTACATTTTACAACTATGCGTACTAGACTGCTACACATAACCATAGATTTAATTTAATTCCCATTTATCGAGGACAAAGATATGATTACTCACCTAAAGCTATAACCAACAAACCAAAGAAAATGGCCTCATTTTCACACCCTTTTCTAGGGGCCACTTTTTCTTTCTCTTCCAAAAAGGAAGAGGTTCTACTTCAGATTTCAGACCCTCTCCACTTCCAGAAAAAAATCCCAAAAAGCAAAAAAAGTAAAACTCACCCCTTCCCCTTTGTTTGCGAACAGTGATCACGCAGTACCTCCAAATTCCCGGCGCACTATTCACGATTACGCCTCTCTCCCTCTCGGCTCCCCGCCATTCCTTTTCCTCGTGAGAAGTTCGCTCGCGAGTTCGATTCTTTGCGCGTGAACGGAAACGGCCACGCGTTCGACCTGCCGTCGGAGGAAATGCTGTCGGCGGGGGCGATGGCGGTTGAATGTTAAGAGTAAATCGACGATGAAGGTAGTAGTGTTAGGGTTAAGAACCGATGGGAGCGGGAATGGCCAAGGAGGCGTCGAGGTTTATTAGCTCGATACCGCCGGCCAACCTGGCGCTCTTACAGCAACCGAACGGTAAAGTGAACACCGCCGCCGCTGGCGGAGGAGGAGGAGGAGGAAAGGTTCAGAGTATTCATCATCAACAGCAGCATAATGAGTGGTGCTTGTGGCGAGGGAGGTGGAGATCCTCTGCGGCACAGGGAATAATGCAGCGGAGGAAGATCCCGTGGTCGTTAATCTGCGGCTTGATGCTGTTCGCTCTCGGGATGGTTTCGCTCTTCACTGGACATATGGCCTCTGATCTCGAGTGGTACTCTCAGCGGCTGGTAAAGCGTAGCCTCTACTCTAGATTCGTAAGCTCTGCTTTCTCTGAAACATTTCTCTTAATTGCGTTTTTCTGTCAGTCTCGAGAATTATGGAATTTACAGTAATCATGAAGAAGAAGAAGACTAAATTTGCTCTGTTGAACGTTTCTGGTAGCTGTCGTTTTCTTAGTTTTGTCGCCATTGATGTGGACATTGATTTGATTGATTTTGTAGAATGTTATTCGACGAGAACCTATCGATATTTGGAGATCCAAGTACTCGAAAATGTTCTACGGATGCAGCGAAAGAGGCCGCAAATATGCTCGTAAGTTCGCTTTCCCTTCATTTTCATACCATAAATGCACAGTGTGGACCTGTTTCAACCTCAAGAGACTCAGATGAATTGGTTTAGGGTTAAGATAGAAGATTCATTTCGTTTAATCTGTGAAGTTTTAATGAATTCAGCTCCCTGAATTTTGCTGTGTGTCTACGTGTAGCTGCCACATCTGAACGGAAATCTAATGGATATCTTCTTATAGCAGCAAGTGGAGGACTAAACCAAGAAAGAACAGGAGTAAGTGAAAAATGTTGATTTCATTGCAATGTTATCAAGGAATTCGGTAGAAGCATTCTTAATCAGACAGTTCCTATCAAAATCTATCAGCCATGTCGTTGATTGCGCTTTTATCTTCGGTTGGCTGATGAACTGCATTGCATAGTTTTGGACTTCTATGGTGGTGCTGAGAAAGTTTGTACTATAAGCAGACCGTTGGTGACTTATTCTTTTTTCCCCCCTCCAGATAACTGATGCTGTAGTTGTTGCGAGGTTTCTTAATGCTACACTAGTTGTTCCTGAATTGGATCACCATTCTTATTGGAAAGATGATAGGTGAGCTTGTAACTCAGCAATCCTTGTATGGCACTTTTAATTATTTGCTCCCTGCTCTGTCATTGAGCCCTAATGCATTTATTACTTGACACACAGTGATTTTGTTGATATATTCGATGTCGATTGGTTCATCTCCTACCTTGCTAAAGATGTCACAATTGTCAAAAGAGTTCCAGATAAAGTTATGCGATCAATGGATAAGCCTCCATATACAATGCGCGTACCCAGAAAGTCCCCACCCGAATATTATATGGATCAAGTTTTACCTATATTATTGAGGAGACAAGTAAGCCAACTCCTTGACTGTTGACATGATAGTTTTTATAGTAGTTTTAGCTTTTGCTATTCATGCCAATGACGTCTCGAGCAATCGTGGATATGTTTGCAGGTTGTGCAGTTGACAAAGTTTGATTATAGGCTTGGCTATGAGCTTGATGAAGAATTGCAGAAGTTGCGGTGCCGTGTTAACTATCATGCTCTGAGATTCACAAAGCCAATACGTGAAGTTGGCCAAAAGATTGTTATGAAAATGAAAATAATGGCTACACGCTTCATTGCTATTCACTTGAGGTTTGTTTGTGGGATCTCTTGGCATGTCTAAGAATTTCTGTTATAAATTGTTGTTTGTCTAGTTTCCAAGCATTACATGAATCTCTATCGCTTAAATTGCAGAATAGACTCTGTTAGCCTGGCATTAAACAATTATTTGTTTAGAGTTTTGGATCTTTGGCATGATAAGCTACCTTAATCAGTTGCTGATGGCGAGAATTCATTATCATTAAATTTGACAACCATTTCTATTTCTGGAATTTTGACCTGAGTTGCTCTACTAGGGTCATTCCAACTTTAGAAGTAGGATAATATTGCAGATCTTTTCACCATTTGTGAAGTGTCAACTTACCTAATATGCCAACATCATATGAGGTGGTGTGTAACAGTTTTTTCAACTTTGTTATTACTTCCTTATTATGCTATGTTGAAATGCCAATGCAATTGCTATTTGAATGGATAACATGCATAATTAATCGTTGTACTTCTGTAAGCGCTCTATGATGGTTACCTAACCACTTTTGTTTACAGATTTGAACCAGATATGCTTGCCTTTTCTGGATGCTACTTTGGGGGTGGTGACAAAGAAAGATTTGAGCTGAGTCAAATAAGAAAAAGATGGGACACATTGCCAGTAAGATGGCTGTAACTTAAAACTTAAAATTTCTTTTATCAGATTAGTTGTCAGTACATGTGATCTGCGTGTAGTTTGACGATCATATTATACATTTTCATTAGACAATCTGATATAAGTATGACTACATGGGTGGTGGATGTTCTGATTTGTTAGCAATGGTACTTTCAAATGATTCAGGATCTAAGTCCCGAAGACGAGAGGGCAAGAGGGAAATGCCCACTCACTCCTCATGAAGTAGGATTGATGCTTCGTGCCTTGGGTTTTGCTAATGACACGTACCTCTATGTCGCATCTGGCGAAATATATGGAGGAGAAGAAACTCTGCGACCCCTTAAAGAACTGTTCCCGAATTTTTACACCAAGGAGATGCTTGCTGACCAAGAGCTGAAACCTTTACTTCCTTACTCTTCCCGCTTGGCTGCTGTGGACTACATTGTATGTGATGAGAGTGATGTCTTTGTCACAAACAACAATGGAAACATGGCTAAGATTCTTGCTGGACGAAGGTAAGTAATTCATTCAGTTTATTATCTAATAATATACTTATCGTGTATATTCTAATTCTAGTAACACATACTTCTCAACGATCTGAATCACAGGAGGTACGCAGGACACAAGAGAACGATTCGGCCGAACGCTAAAAGGCTGAGTGCATTGTTCCTGAAAAGACAGAAAATGGACTGGGAAACCTTCTCCAAAAAGGTAAAATCATGCCAGAGAGGGTTCATGGGCGAACCAGATGATGCGAAACCTAGCAAGAGTGAGTTTCACGAACACCCTGCTTCGTGTATCTGTGAGAAGCCATTCACCGAGGACGGTAACTTCAAGGAAGAACCCACTTACTCACAGAACCGGTCGTCTCTCAACCCAAACGCTCGACGACAGCAATAAAGAGAATCTGTCTTCAGGAGAGGCTAAGGATGATGTTGAAGGAAAAGCTGATGCCAAGGAAATGCAACAGCAGACGTAGTAAGCCATTTTTTTGCTGAGAGACTTGAGATTCACTCATTCCGAGTACAGACAACTGTGCATACCAGTGAGAACTCTCATTCGCATCGCCATGATCAAGAAGCAACCTGCTGAGAACACTCTGGTTGTGTCTTCTTCTCCTGGTGCTTAGCTTCTGTAGGCAGATTGTGGACGGATGAGTGGTTGTACAGGAGAAGACTTTTGGTGAGTTGCAACTGTTCATAAAATTAGTTTTTGGTAGGTAAAATGGTGTGACGCTCGCTACAAAGATTGACGTGGGTGCTTACTTTTATTCTATTTCGGAAGTTAAGGATGAGCTAGTCGCTGCATGGTAAACACAACGAGAAATCCATGGTTTATAACAAACAATTCAGACCAGACATATTTCGAGGTAAAATGAAAGAGTTTCTGTAACCTTTTGAGAGGTCACAATAATGTGTCGAAAAACAAAATCACGGGTTAGGTACAAAGCATATAATATTGCTGTCAGGAAAGGATTGAGGTGTTATCGGTGGAATTAGAGTATCTCCGCGCCTTCCTTAAACGATTGTGGACAAACCTCAACAAGGACGTCTAGTCCAAAATGAAGGGTGTAATGTAACATGCTAATCAAATATCACGTCTACAAAACCGTGCGGGGTTAGGCTTACAGCGAAAAATATCTTTACCAGAAAAGTGTTGAGATGTTACAAGTGGTGACATAGTCTCTCTGTGTTCCTTTTGAATGATTGCGGGGTAAGTTCAACAAGGACGTTGAGCCCAAAGGATGGGTGTAATGTAAAACCCAAATGTCGCGTCTAAAATGCATGAGAGAAATCTGTAGTTCATAAAGAAATATCCAACCTTAACTGACAATATGCGTTTTGAGTGATGAAGTTCTTGCAAAAACTTTGAAGTTAAATATGCTTAGTATGAAACAGTAGAAAAGCAAGAACCGTAAAGTTGTACCGGAGGTTATACCAGAAAAGTTAGCGATAGTATAGTGTGTTGAAACCAAAAATTAATCATGGTTCAAAAACATTTCATACCCCGATAAAAATTTCCTATCAATTTAGCCTAATTAGGAGATTTTCTTATCAAACCATACAGTTTACACACTAGAGAAAAAATGGGGTGACATTTCAAAAAGTCATTGTGCTTCCAATAGTACATCCGTTACCATGAGTAGAGCAAAACATAGTCACACCCACTATATAAGCAATTACGGTGGGAGAGATTGAAAGTGAATAATATCTTGATCGGAAAAAGATTAAAGAGCAGATGAAAGTAGAAAATTGGGCGATATATCCTGGATTGATACGTTTCTAGTTGCATTTTGTATGCTTAAAATCAACCATATCCATTGTTTAAGCCAACTTAGCCGTTGGTGGGCCGCAAAATAGTTTTAAGGTAGAAGCCTTGAGCAATATACCCCAAAAGCCCGAGCTTGTAATACTACACGGACAATTCCCATATACAAGACTAAGAGCCCTATTAACGGACGCAGCAACAGCAGACTAAAATCTAAATCTAGTCAAATCGTTAATCAGAGATATATGAACATCCTAAATTACACACTCCCAGCACTAAATATCTTCACAAGTTACTAAGGGAGAGCAAGAATTCTCCCCCAAATTCACTACCCTAAAATCACCCCTTCCTAATAAGCTAAATTTCTCTTCATTTCCAACTTCATTTTCTTCATTTTCAACTCCCCACGTTTTGCTTCAGCCGAGTCTCTCCATCTTCCCGAAAAGTCGAACTACCAATAGCGGTTTTATTTCCACTCTACTCCCACTGCAAGAGCGCTCCAAACCCTTCAACCATTGGTATTCCCTGCACTCAACCATATCGATTCCAGTAAGTTCGAGAACTTACGAATCTCAAAGCTGAGCAAGGTTAGCAGCTTTTACCTCTAGCGGCTGGCCTACTTTTGTGGCTTTTATCGTGCGAGACAGAGGGTATTTTCGAGACCATCAGTGAGCTTTGCAGCCCTTCCAGTAGCTGCAGGCACAATAAAATGGGATCATAAGAGGAAAGTTTCCAGAAGTTAGTTCGTCATTTGTAGCATGGAATGTAAAGATGGAAAATTTTGTTCAAGAAAGCAATCAAGTGCTTCTTACTCTTGATGTTGGCTGAATTCGTCGGTTGGACCTACGAGGAGCCTCAGCACCGGATGTTTCTCCTGCTGAACTAGCACCTGAGGAAGCTTTTCTCTCCTCCACCCTGCCCAACTTACCCACACCTGTGCTGAATTTCCCTTTACTTCCCCTTTCACCTCTCGCATTTACTGTTGAGGGTTTCTTAGTCGGAACAGCGTCCGGTTGTCGGACAGAAGAAAACACGACAGGAGCCCTTGGCGTCCCCTCGGAGCTAGAAAAGGCTCGGAAATCAATGGAACTCTGTTTTCCAGTTCCACTCGAACCTCCTCCACTCGCAGAAGCATTCTTTGTCTTCGCATTAAGATCTGTAAATGCGGCAACAGTAGTATCACCAGAAGTAGTCGAGCCTTGGGCTTGGGCATGACCACTAGTTTTACCAGGCAGCTTGGGAATCCTGGGCTTGGGGATGGCCGATCTTTTCACAGTGGTGTCAGTTCTCGAAGTAGTACCACCTCTCCATCGGGGAAATTTCGACGATGGGTCATTAGTTTCATCAGTTGTTTTATGACCACGAGCTCCTCCAACATAATGCTTGCTCACTTCCATGAACTTCCTCTTCTTCCCTGGCTTAGGCACACCAAACACAACATTCGACCCTTCTGCCTGCAAACCGGTTCGAGCCATTCTACTAGCGACTCCAGTGCTCTTGCCCATGTTGAATATCTTTTGTTCAGAAGCCAAATCCAGCAATGTTGGCTCAGCAGGTTTAGCAGACTCTTTGTCAACGTTTGCGTTCTCGGGTACTTTGTCCTTGTCTTTTGAGTCTGCTACAGGGTTCCATATTCTTGGTCGCTTCTCTTGTGGTGTATCTCCCTGCAAGATAGAGTAAGTAGTTAATTTTGTAGACTAGCTACAAAAAAAAGTGGTAACTGAAAAAGGAGTAAGTAGAGTGAACCAGTACCAGATGGGAAGGGACATTCTTCTCACTTGAATTGGACCATTCGATCCACTGCCCATCACTCCATAGAAGAGATGTCCGAAGATGCCATGCTTTTACTACTGATGTTTCTCCTTGTACTGCAGCCAAGAGCAGAGCAGGTATTATTAATGAACAACATTTTTACCGTGACTAAGAGCAAATGACAATCTGGGTAAGTGATTCAAGACATCCATACCTGGGAAATACACTGTTAACGAAGTGTCATCTTTCTTGTTCTTTTCCGTGACAACCCCTTCCCACCAACTGAAAGGGCATCAATGAACAAATTCAACATTAGAATCATTAAACAGATAAAATAGTTCTCACTTGAGAATTCATTAGTTCAAGAACCAAAAATATTAACAGGAGTACTAGCAGATTGACGAGAAATGGATCTAAGAGCCAATTAAGTTTGTTCCTTATTCACGATTGACACAATCAAAATTCAAACAGCACTAATGAAGCTTTTGCAAAGCCTGACTTACGATGCTTATAAAAAAGCATCAGGCTAACATGGTGCACAATTACCTTTCTCGTATCCATGCATCCACCCTGTCACCAACTGACCAGTTATAGTCATTTATGGCAGCTCTACGCCTCTTTCTAGTTCCTTCAAATGGCATTACAGTAAGAGGACGAGAGATGCGTATTTTTGGTGCCTCAGCTCCTTCACCACGAAGGGCTACCCACTCCTTCAGTTTCTCTGATCCTGTCACAAAGGAACTCTTGAGGGATGAACCAAGAGACATAGAATAAAAACATGCATAATCTTGCCCAGCAAGAGTCATATTTATACTCAAATTTTTTATTTTACCAATTTGCTCTTCATAACCCAATCCCTTTCTTGCTTGGTCAGTGTGTGTGTATGCTTGATCAACTTGCATATGTTATTGATATGTACGGAGTTTTATACGTCGTTTTAACATAAGAGTGTGTTCAAAAGATTCATGGGAGTTATAAAATATTAAAAATGTATTTGCTATAGGTGTTTCATATGGGAACCATAAACAAATGGGGAAAAAATTACACGACCAACAATAATAGGTGAACCAAGTTTTAAACGCATTTAGTACATAGATGTGCATTATAAGGGTGTTAAACGAATTCTCGATAACTATGGTGGTCAAGACATATTGAGACTTAATAGTGTTGAGCATAGTTAAGGTGGAAAGTGACAAAAAGTTAGACAAAAAAGGAAAGGGTAGTTTGGGAATTACAAAAAAGAAATGAGAACATAATCGGAACGAAAAAAGACAATAACCTGTTATATGGAAATAACCAACCTCCCCTAGTATTTGTCAAATAACAGGAACCTAATACTGCATCCCTTTTTTCCAACCAAACATGTTACTTGATACCAAAGACCACGTCCAAATGACCTCCTGGTTTCTAATTAACTAGGTGTACTAGGGTCATTCTGAATTTGAAGTCCTAAATCCTAATATGCAATTACCTTGCAAGAAGAGTAAGGCAGCGAGATAATTTATTTACAGTAATCCACTTTGAAGTGATAATAAACAAATGCAACTTGTTCAAAAAGGCATAACATCGTTGAAGAAAATGACTTACCTTCCCCTAATGTAAGTTCGTCATAACTCACATAAGCCATTTCATCCCTCAAGTTTAAAACTTTTGCTGAGAACCAGGCAGCTTTAAATCCATTACCATCCCTCAAGATCTGCAAAAGCAGCAGCAGATAATTACTCAATACAACGTCAAGTGGAAGCAGTTGAAGGTGAATTATTTAAAATCAAAGTCATATGAAGTCAACAAAAGCAATTATAACTTCGTCCAACCTCTACAAAGGACCCCTCCTTGATGCCACTTCCTTCTGAACTGCCAACTTCTACATGTTCGTTTTCAGTATTGGTAGGAGATTTAGGTATACTTCCATCTTGCAAAACCACTTCCAAGGTTCTAGCTATCTCGGAAGGCTTGTGAGCTTGGAGTCCCTTGGCATCCTTTATACCAGTAGCAACATGTGAGTTATCTACCAAGTTTACATGGTCGTCACTAGAGATATCTCTTGGGGCAATTGATGATTTCTCATGGCTAACAGAAGCATCACGAATTTCTCCACCACGGTCACCACTCAAATTTTGAGCATGGATCTCATTTGATTTAGCAACAAGTTGTGGAGAAACTTCGGAAACTTTCCAGAAACCCTCAGGACCTGCAGCTACTAGCTCACTCAACGGCAAAGGATCACCCATATCTATAATTTTGCCAGCCTGAGAAACAGCTTCCGCAGCCAACTCTGCAGCTCTGATAATGGCATCCATATTCTCAGCCCGTTTTGATGCAGCAGATGCCGCTTCAACCCTCTTTCTAGCAGTCTCCCTTGCAGCAGAAATGACTGAACTGGAGCTACTTGTTCCATTGTCACGCTTCAATATGGATGCTGAAGTTGCATTTCCCATGTCATTAGAGAAAGAGATTAAAGAGCTCTGACCATTATAAATCCCAGAAGCAGCAGCCTCATCTGCCATTAGCCTAGCTTGCAATGCAGCATTTGCTGCAACATTTGCAGCCGCAGCTGCAGCTTTCGCAACAGCCGCGGCAGCAGCTATTGCAACAGCTGCAGAAGCCAGCTTTGCTTCCACATCAGATGACAAGCTTGCATCTCTTTGCTTATCTAATTGACTCCATACTAGTTGGCTTTGACCAACAGCAGTAGCAGCAAAGGCAGCAGCATCCTCTGCATGTGATCTAGCCTCTTTCACTTTACCAAGGGCCTCATCTGAGGAAGTAGCCCTCTGCACCCTTGTCGGATCTTCTTTTCTAAAATTTGTAGTCAAAGGGGATGGAAATGCTGTAACCATTTCTGCAGGGGCTTTAGACACAAAGCTAGCTGGGGTTATGATGGAAACAGATGTAGACAGATGACTGGAAACTGCAGCACCAGGAACAATTTCTCGTGGAGGTTCCGGATTTAAACCTCTATCCACAATGTTCTCGGGCGCCAATGACTTCTTCCTTCTTCTAGGCTTTGGAGCAGTAGACTGCTGACCCGATGATATTATTGCCTTACCAACATCAGGCATGGAAGTACTAGGCAACACATTACCTGAAGAAGCAGCATGAGACACTAGAGGAGTAGAAACATGCTTTACCACAGATGTATGGGACACAAATGAATCTTTTGCAGGAGTTAAGTGAACAGGCTCGGTATGAGCCATCTGTACAGGGAAACGACTACCAGTCTCGACTGCAGATGTTTGAGGAGAAGTGATCCATGCACCAAACGGGCCCTGGGAGATCCAAGAAGGGCTATGTGCCACCAAATTCCTCATGGCTGGGGTCTGATGAGGATGTAATGGAGAAAGTGCCCTCTGGAATTCCAGAACAGGAGCCCTAGCTGTGCTACTTGATTGCAAGTGATCAATGGAAGGAGTTGGCATGTTCCAAATTGGGGATGAAAGAGGTAGCATTGGGGTTGGAATAGTTGAGGCAGTTGCTTTACTGCTGGATCTACCACCAGTGGCCTTACCTTTACGTGTGCTTTGCTTACTGGTCTGTTCAGGAGCTATCACACCTGCAGTTTAAGAAAAAGATTAATTCAGATTCTCAATGAGAATGAAAGGAACAATACGTGTATATAAGTTCCAAGGCAACAAAGGTACCAGAGTGAGACTGCACAGGGGTCTCAGGGGTACTAAGATGAGATCTTTGAGTATTAAGTCTTTCAACATACAAGCGCCAGTTTTTCTCCCATGCACTCTTACAACCATCTGCAACCATAAAACCCTAGAAAACTCATTCACTTCTGTCTCGGGGGAATATGTGAAGGAAAAGCTTCTCAATGGGAAAACTAACCAGCTCCTCCAAATGCAGATATCATGTATGCCTCCTCCGGAGCTGTTCCTTGACTGCATCAACATTTGCAAGGATAACACAATGTTAGTCACCTAATTCAGTTAATTATTTTGTTTTAATTCCATCCGGGTTTCTCCATTTTATTCAATTTGGTAGGGTTATTATCTGTTAACATGCAGAAAAAGCTGCAGAATGTGTCGATTTATAAGAAAGAAGCCTAGAATTTTCACAGTTTGTAACGAAATATCAGAGAAGTACTCACATCAAAGATCCATATACGAAGATTTGAGCACGCAATTGAACTTGTTGCGTATCTGTGAATGGTTGCTGAAACAGCGTGGTAGTGGCTGAAGAATTCAGATCTGGCAGACCGGGTATTGATGTCCCAACAAATGGTCTAACACCACTGCTATCTATATGCTCAAAAAGCTGCATCTCATTGGAGTATACATTATGACCAAGTCCAGGCGAACCCGGAGGAATATTTGCATTGTTACCCCTTTCCACTTTCGCAGGTGTCGTCACCTTTGTGGTCCTTCCCCTTTTAGCAGATTCTTTACCAGTCGCCCTACTTCTCCTTGGCTTACGCTCAGAATTTACTTTTGGGGCACTTTGCCGAACAGTTATGTCAGAAACCTTAGGACTCTGATGAGAGAGATCTTGCGCAACCTTGGCATCTAATTGGACTAAACCAGAAGTAGAGGGAGACCCATCCATAGACTTATAAAATCAAGAAGAAAAAAAAAAAAGAGAAGACTTAGATCAGAGGTCAAAGAAAATAAGATACTACGGAAACAGATCATATAAGAACTTCAGAAAAATGACAATATCATAACACGCATAAAAATGAAAACTGCAGAATTAAGACGGCCCAAAAGGATACTTTACCGTGGGTACTTTGCTGGTGTCCACGGTCTGCACATCCGGCAATTTCTTAGCAATTTCTGTTTGCGGGGACCCAGTAAATGAAGGAACCTGAATAGGCTTACAGAATCAAGAATAAAACAAAGGAAGATCAGTGGTATCAGAAAACTGATGTACTGCTATGGAATGACTAACCAAAAGAATTACAGAGAGAGCATCCAAATGAAAAATTCAGTATTAAGGTCTCAAAATAATGCTGTACCATGGATGCTTTGTTAATCTCTACTGTCTGCACAACCTGCATTTTCTTGGCATTTTCCGTTTGGGGCGACTCGGTAAATGAAGGAACCTGGAAAGTGAAGCTCCCGTCATCTTTCGAGGGAACATCCATTTTGGACCTCTTAGGGGAAGACCTGTTGGCATCGCTTGACGGAGCTGGAGTGCTCGGATGTGAAGATCTTTTAGTCTCCTCCCTTTGGTGTTGTACCTCAGGCAGTGGGGTAGTCGCTATTGTAGGCGAAGGAACAGGATGCTTCTCAGGATCAGCAGAAGTTGCCAATTCTATGCAGAAACCAACTTTATCAGATCCTCATGATACATTCCCATTTTCATAAGCAACACCCAAAATTCTCAGTTAAAACAAAGGAAAAAGTCTACCAGTGACTAAACCTTACCATTTTTACTTGCAACTGCATCCGGTTTGTCATTCAAGCCTGTGGATAGCACAGCTTTGTCCTCTCTGTAGCCTTGTTGAGTAGCATTTTGGCTAGAGTCATTATTATCTGAAAGTCCAATTTTATCCATTGATTCTGCATCAAGTAACATAATATGGAAGTGAAAACTCACACCAATGCATATCACTGCACACATATCACAAGAATGTATCACTAACTATAACCTGGTGCTTCTAACAATGTCTTCTCCTCAGCTTCTCTAATAATTGAAGTATCATTGTCCTTGTTTGCAGACATATGATGATCAGAACATTCTTCCATCGCCTTTGTACACTCTCGAGCATCTTCATTCATTGGAACTGCTTCAGATTCAACCTGACCTTCATGAGTACAGTGGCCGATTATTGGTACAGACTCATCAGTAGGTGCACTTAACATTTTTTCAGATGCATCAGCAGAAACCATCTCCGATTCTGTGAGAGGATTTACAGCTGCTGTCCCTTCAGATGTCCTCAGTTCTGAGTTCGAAATCTCCTTTTCAGCTTCTTTGGCTGTTAGGACAGATTCCATGCCTGGTAATGAGGACACCTCACTGTAAACAGAGAAAGAAAAACAGAGAAAAAGAAAGAAAAAAAGAGAGGGGAGCAGGGTGGGGTAGCAGAATATGACCTCCTTATAAGGAGAAGGGCTAGTATCGTACCTATTTCATTGCCACCAGCCGCATCAACCAAGGATTCGATACCTAAGGCCTCACCTTCTATGCCCAAGACAGGAAGTGATCCGATATCTCTATCAGTTGTTGGAGAACCATGAACCTCATTGTTTACAGCAACACCATTAGAAGTATGCTCTGAACTTGTATTTAGCTGAAAAGGAGTGTCTAGTAAGAATCTCTTGTCTTCATCATTTTGCGGCACCATAACTCTCTCATGTCCTTGCGGAGTTTCAGCTGCTGCTGATGATGGAGTACCTTCACTAGCTTTTGCAGCAACAAAATCAGAATCATCACTACCATGGGCAGAGGGGACGTTACATCTTTCAGTTCTATCAGCAGAAGTATCATTCTCCTCAGATATCAAGTGTTCCTCAGAGCTTGTAACAAAGCTATCTGTCTGCAACTGGGGAACACTGTTGCTTCCATTCCTGGTCTCAGTTGTCCTGCCATCCAAACTTACTAAGGATATACTTTCACTTCCCCTAGAAACATCAGTAGCATTTATGTTTTCAGACAAGCCAACATCCTTCCTCGATATACAAGATCCTTCCATGTTGCTTATGCTATTGCCACTTACATTTGCCTCACTTTCATATTCTGCAGGGGTGGAGCAGGCAGGACTCTGTAACTGTTCACTGCCAGCTTCAATGACAGTAGCATCAGAAATGTCTTGGGTTTGACCAATTGCGTCCCCTTCACACAATGCACCTGTTTCCTCTATTGGGTCACCAACATCCATTGCAGCCATATTTTTAATACCATCACTTGAATCTGTAATATGATTCAGGACATCCTCGTCTTCTTCCCTAATCACAGTTCCTGTATCCATCATATCGATTTGCATTCCTGAAGCATCACTTTCTTGTGTCCTTATAGCTAAAGATTCATAGACCACAGTATTGACTGCATTTTGACCAACACTATCACATCTACTGTCAATGAATGTGCTCTCAACAGCAACAGACAATCCGCCCCCTGGAGTGATACCAGTAAAATCACCTAAACCAATATCAACAGAGTTCCCACCTTCATGACCGCATGAAACATCCTGGGCCAGAGGCAGCTGCCCCCCAACATCACCAGGTGATCCAGAGAATCCCTCATCAATGTCACAAGGCACCAACATTGGCTTTACATCTGAAAAATCTACTGTTCTATTTGATAAATTACTATCCTGATTCAAGTTAGGTTCCATTTGGCTAATCATGCAACCCTGCTCATCACATGCATTGGACTTCTTAGCAATAACTTGTAGAGGAACACTTTCTTCCTGGACTACAGATCTTAATAGCATCTCAACAGATTCTGAGGAAGTGGCCTCAGACCAAACATTGTTCTGTCTTGAAATGCAGCAAGACTCTGCTGCACTTGAAGTGAATTGTATCGTGGGGCTTCCTCGTGAATAATCTTCAATCCACTGACTGTCTTCGTTGCTTTCAATGCCAAGGAAAACCTCGGTTTCTACTAGATTATCAAACCTTAATGGCCCATGCAGATTGTCATCAAATTCAAACTTAGGAAGAGCATATGGACGTAATACTGGAGGAAACTTGTTGCTCCCTTCACCAGCTAAATGACGATTCTGGCTTTGAAAATCATTGTCATCATAATCCATGGGTATATCCCTAATTATGATAATAGCAAGGAGTAAGTTCTAGGTGGTGCAGAATTACATATCAAAGTCGCATGCATAGCACAGCAGGAACAGACTAGGGCACACATAATCTTTCAGAGTCAGGAATAGAGATTATAATTTATAACACAATCTAATTTAAAGCTTATGCGAATTTCCCGATCCCCGTCTGTGCACCTATAGCACAGAAAAAAGTACCAATCTGTTCCCTGCCATTTCCTACCTTTTCTGCTACCATACTACTTAACTAAATTGAGATCTTATAAACCTTATCAGTAACATAACTTTCCAACGTCAGTTCATCAAATGCAGCAGGATATGATAGGAAAGGGCTGACCAAAAAAGAAACAGGCATAACATGTGCGAAGTTACAGCTTATAATTGCATTCATGAGGCTAGCTACAATTGTTGCAGATGAAATTGCTTGCTACCAAGTTGCAAGGGCATACAAACTACTGTAGCTAAATTAGTTCCCCCATAGAAGTAAATGCGAGACAGAAGAGCAGAATACTAACACTCGTCAACAGAAAAAAGAAAGGCCCAGCAGAAGCCGAATCCAAATCCAAGAACCGATGCAAACACTACTTCGAAACCCTGGTTCACTCCTAGAGAAACATTCAGTCACTAAGCCTGTTATCACAACCTATTTGCACCAACTACCATGAAAACTCAACCAAGCTCCCAAGAGCCATAACCATTTCGAAAGGGCTCGGACTCCAAAAGGACGACCCCCTACCCTAACTTCAAACTTCGAATTTACGAGTAAAGGAAAGGTGGGAAATGAAGGAGTACCAGCAGCAGAACAAGTAAGTGTAGAGAGGCTACCTCCCTCCATTCGGAGACAAAATCCCAGGCCTCAAGTGTTCCCCAGTCGTACGTTCATCTAAACCTTCCAACCAAGACCGGCACCCGGAGAGAGCCACACCGCCACCGGGATTATTAGCCTTTCTGGTAATCGAAAAAGGTAGGGAGGGAAGACCTAATCGAGCAGAAAAAAGATAGTATGGTACTGAAGACGAAAACTAGTCGTCCGCCGAAAGCTGTAAAACTAGAGTGTCGAATTGGTGCGGAAGTGGAGGATCGAGTTAGGGTTCCGGCGAACCGAACGACGCGCAGGTCAAGAAGGTCAGAAAGCAAAGCAAGAAAACGACAGAGGAAAAATAGGGAGCGAGTTTGTGAGAGAAGGAGAAAGAAAAAAAGAAAATTAATGTGTCCTTTTTGTTCTATGTCAGCAGCTAGCGCCCATCTTCGTTTTCTTTTTTCTCTTCGCTTCTTCCTTCCTTTTCACACGTTTATCGGTTTTATGGGAGTTCAAACTTCAAAGTTCAAATAATTCAAATTCCATCTCATCACAACAATCAACATGGTGAATGCCACATTTGATCACCGAGATTATCAAATTATGTCATATTCAATTATTAGAAAAAATTAATATCAATTTTATCACTTGAATTACTAAAATATGTCACATTTATTTACTCTTCCGTTAGTTTCTGTCCAACTTCATTAACGGAGTTGGACGGAGGCTAACGGGAGAATGACTAAATGTGACATGTTTCAGTAATTCGAGTGACATTCATAAAAAAAAAGCAATTCGAGTGACCGAAGTTGGACGGAGGCTAATGGGAAAATGACTAAATGTGACTTGTTTTAGTAATTTGAGTGACCAAAATTGATATCAAATTTTCTAGTGACTAAACATAACATGATTTAGTAATTCCAGTGACCAAATGTGGCATTTACTCCAACATTGCCTGAACAAACAATTTCAAGGATTTATTATTTTGTTACGTTGTTTGATCATGTACAATTTCTGTGTCAAAAAATATATAACTTCTGTGATTTTGTAATAATAACTACTTTTTGAAAAATACATAAAATAGATATTTGTGTCCAATTCTTTAACGGTGTTATCTAACAAGCTGACTGTACTAATAAAATAGTTTATATGACAGCATTTTGTCAATAACAATATGACATGGAATTCACTGAAAAATAAAAATAAATTAATTAATACTATTATTCTCTCTCCCCTCTCTCTTCTTTCCCATTCAATTCCCTCAACAGTCGTTGTTGTTCAACAGATACTCTAACGACCAAACCTGTCCCAAATCCGCTAGCGAGTTTCATCAATTCGGTAGCTGAAAGCCTGAAACCCCACCTTAATCACCTAGGAGAAACCCCACCCACCGCTCATCTCCATCGCCTTTGACTCTTCCCATGTTCGTCGCAACAGAATACTGTGGAGGAGGAAGAGCCAACAAGCGAATCGAGATGCCCCTATTCCTAGCCCTCACACCACGACTGGATGGATCTGGGTGTGGCATAGATAATTTTGTGAAAGTTATAATTCGTTTGTAGAACCCGTCTCTTTTGGGTTGGGTATGGATTTTGGGTTACACAACCAATAGATACCTGACCCAACTCTTGTTACAACTATGATATTTTGTCATATTCTTCTCTCGTGGTCTCACTAACCTAATGTATTCTTCAGCTGAAAATTTAGACGTAGATTGAAATCATTTAATACAAGCTATGGTCACGGTAATTTTTTTTTCTGTGTACAACTATAGAAGTATAACATATTTTTGTGTTGGGTTGGGTTATTACTTAAACGTATAGTCTGCCCGACCCAATCCAATCATAAACAAACTGTAGGGTTCTAATTTTTTTGTGGGTTTGGATTTGGTGTTTCCAAAAGAAAAGTGTATGGGTAGGGTATTAAAATGACTAAATCTAAACCACCCTATCTCTAGCAGCTGGTAGCTCCACAGTGTATGAATCTGATACCCTAACATGATTATATTCAAGTGCTAACAGAACGTTCTCGTCCGACACATGAATTACCAGGACAAAAGAACCACAATATCACGGACAACAACATCAAAATTGATTTTGAGAAAGTCATCAGGAAGAGCATCCCAATGAGGCAGAGGTAAAGATGGAAGGAGAGGGATGAGATCTAAATTGAATGAAGACACAGTGGTAACTTCACAAACTTGAAACAAACAAAAATGACGAGCTAAAGAATGAGAATGTGGTTGAGTGAGATAAAAAAAACCCCACCTTTTCAGATTTCCATATTCTCCATAATAAGCATACATATGAGAGAATTCGATATTGAGACTACTTAGATATTATAATCTGTGACCATCAATCCATCGTAACTAAAATTAATAGTAGTGACGGAGTTTAGGAAATCACTTAAACCTACCAGAGCTTATATTTGAATGCCAAAGGGGCATATAAAGAACAAATTATCAATAACCTTTCGGTATCTCCAACACACTGGACATCGAGTAAGGGAATTCACTCATCGCAAAAAAAAAATATAGGGGTGATATAGGTTTCATTTTGTAATTAGGGTACTACTTAATGGATTCGAACATGAGACCTCCAGGTTATAGGCTAGTGGTATTTCCACTAGGCCATGCCCTTGTTCATCACTCATCGCAATTTTAGAGCTACCACGATTGGCAGGACCACCCTAAGACTGTCATATGAAGGACTTGAACTTGAGAGGAATTAACATTGCCCAAGATTTCTTTCAAATGGGAGGATCAATAATTAGAGCTAAAAAAATAACTCATGTTAGCCAACGAACTCTCCCGGGTTAGATGGTACCCAATTTTTACTAAATAATACACATTCTTGATATGATTCAAAACTCATGTATCCTTATGTGGTAATCGTGATAGCAGAATCGCACATCTATGGGAGATCAATTGAGGAATCAAAGGAATAATTAAGTCTCGGTATACTTTGAGGTGACGACGAGCGTGACTAGTGAACCGAGTTGCAAATGAAAATGTTTGAGCTAGCTAGCTAGCTAGCAATTATTAGAACAAGCACGAAAAAGGAAACAGAGAAATCAAATATGACAAGGCTTGGTCGGAGACCGTCCACAACGAGAATCGTCACTACAATGGGTCGCACAAAGACAGACAAGCAGTAGCAAACAATAGGCTATAAAGAAGAGCAAACAACAGTTTCTCACGATCTAAAAACAAGAGAGACTACTAGAGCATAATCTCTGGAGCTTTCTTGTAGAAGATTGGTTCGATCTTAGTGAATTTCCAACAAGAGAAATTGAATTTGAAGGAAACAATTTCCCAAATGAATTATGACATAATTAACGAACAACTTCCCAGCCTGCTTGACAAACGCCTCCACTGAAGATTTGACGTTCGTCCTATTAGTTGCTTCTCATTATTAGTTAGATAACATATGCATTCTATCATTTCCTCACAAGTACTATATGACCACCAAATTCCAGATAATCAGGATACTTTGCCGACATTTGGTATACTATGTCATAGTGAAAATCCATTTGGCTGCAAAAGCCACAGTTAATAACAATAACCTTATTATCATGGAGTAGGATTCCTCTAATTAATTTACAAGTCTTGTACCACATTCTCATTTAATGAAATATTATAATTAAAGCTATCATTATTCTCCCAACACGAAAACGGTTGAGTTCAATTTCTTGGTGTAATTGACAAAGTGCACTTAATTGTACATAAGAAAATTACCTTAAAAATTTGCCCTCTAAATTTCAGCGGAGTTTCCACTGAACTTGGTTGGCATGTGACTATTGCGAGAGAAGGGAGGAGGTGTTGGGTATATGGAGGAAGGAGGAAGGAGGAGTGGAAGGTGGGATTTTTTAATTGTTGGATGAGAGTGAATGTCGTCACCTTGGCTGGCGACCATCCTTTTGATTGGTCGAGGGAGTTATACACAAATCGCTCATTTAGGCGGTGATGTAACATAGATAATTTTCCAGCCACACGATCTGCAAGGTAGTAAACTCTATCTGCTTCCCTCTCCATCGTCCCAATAAGAGAGAAAGTTGCCAAAGCCCCAAGCGACAAGCTGCTCTGCGTTCCGAAAATTCATTTTATCGCCTTTCAAGATGGTGATCCATGTATCTCCCCCTTGTCCAACCACAAGCTGCTCTACGTCTCCTGGCATTTGATAGCTTATTGCTTGTTTGAGTAACGATATAACTTTTATCACCTTGTGGACCGACTACATATAGTTAGGTCGCTAACTCTTGTAGCAATATTTGTTTGCACCCATTGTAAAAAGACCCTTTGGATTGTTTGGTTCTTTCCAATATCTCAGTATATTATCTCAATCTCATTTTAATACTTGACTGAGTGTACATTTGAACTGAAACACAAACAAGGAAGCTAGATGATTTCAAATATAAATACCAGAAATCCATTCTCTAAGAATTGTTTTTGTTAATAACTACCCAACTTAAAAAAAAAAGACAATGCAAACTGAATGTCTCTAATCATGTGCTTCGTATGTCTTATACAAGTGTATTATGTGTGTGACTTATATCAACCAATTTTCAAAGAATTGGGATGTGACACTATGCATGCCATTCGTACTTGCTTTGTAAGATGATATGATTCTCAAATTACTAATACTTTGTGAAACTGTCTACTCGGGTAAAACTATGAGGCGCAACTACTAATACATTGTGAAACTGTCTACTCGGGTAAAACTATGAGGTGCAACAATTATGTATGAGTTTAGAAATTAAAAGGATTTGTTTGTTGGTGTATTTCTGAACGTAGATATTTGAAAAATGTAGATATTTGGTAATGCAGACATTTCAAATGTGTTATTTTTACAAGAGTCATATTTCAGTGACTCATTTATATAATTTTATCATTTTGTCCCCACATGTAATATGTTCCATTTTCTTGTTTGCTATCCTAATAAAACCAATCACAAAAATAAAATTCATTTTTCAACCAACATGTCACATATTATTTGGATTTTAGCATTATATAATAATACTAGTTTTTATTTCCGAACGATAATTGTATGTTAACTTTCTTACAAATTGTAATGGATAGAAAGTATATCATGTGTAATTCCTGTTGAAGCATATACCCGGTGGTGGTTGCAGGGCGGACGCTTTCAAAGCGGACTCCCCTAACCTATATTTGAAATGGGTATTCAGAATACTAATGATTATTTTATTAGAAATAATTGAAAAATGTTCATGGAAAATAATTGGAAAGTGTTGTTTGAAATAATTGGAAAATATTGGATTTATGAAGAAAAAATAGAAAAGAATTAGTCTACACAATAAATAAAAGCCAAATGAGAAAACTTGAAGCCCCATTTCAAATTTTCTGCATCCAGAGTGAAAGTAGGAATGACATTTTGGTCTACACAATTACTTTTTTTATTCATTAAAAAGACACTTATTAGGATTTGAACCATGACCACTTTAAAGAAAAGCAAATATCATAACCAATCACACTAAGTACATTTGTTGTATCTTTTTAAATTAAAAACATATAATCGCAGAGAGGAAAAAACCCTTTCCCCATTTCAAATTCCCTACTCCATGATCGTTTGTAGGAAGGGTAGAATAGGGAGTGCCAATTTTTTTTCTTTTGCCTCTGTGAACGGGCCAACTTACCGTACACATGCGGATTTAAACGAGTCTAGGAGTGTCAATTTTTTCCTTTAAGTCCTTTTATTTCTCCGTGGTGGTAAAATATATATGAAAAGGCAAAAACGATACTCCTTTTTATTGCTAAAAAGAAAAAATTTAACAATAAACTAATGCATGGATTCTAATG